TGATATTGGGCCCGTTTGGTAAAGCTGTGAGAAAATGATTTTAGATTATAGCTTAACAGGTTATAGTTTATAACTGTGAACATAAGCTGTTATTCTGTTTAGTGCAGCTGTGGGATTATGGATTTAAGCAGCAAAGTAGTGTTTGGTTGATAAGCTATAAAATAACTTTTTACTGTGTAATCGTCCTTTTTCTGAGTGAAGTTGTGCGCCTTATCTAGGTTGCTACCTTGCTTTCCAAGATTGTGTGCGCACTACTTGTGAGAATATATTTGTATATATTAGGCATGTTTGTGATAACTGTATTTCCTTTTTTGGTCCCATTCTTGTATTTCCTTTTTAGTTAGTCGTTAGGGTTATATAAACTAGTCTTGATGTAATTAATACACAAGTTGAATATACAGAAACTTACTTGGTATCAGAGCCAAAAACCCTAGAAACTATTGCTCTCTCTTAGTTGTGAGTTATGGGTGATCTTCTTCCCCAATTGTTGCTTCAGTCGAAGTTGAAGTCGAAGTCGTGCCTCATCTTCGCTGGTTGAAATCGAGTGGTCTGGCCTCGTCTTCCTAGGTCAATTGACTCTGGTTCATGATCATCAGCGGCTTCTCTCTCTCTCTCTCTCTCTCTGGAATCACGATCGTGGTTCGGTTGACCTTTCTCTCTGGTTCGACTCTGGTCGATCGACTTCTGCCTCTGCTCTTCGCGAGCCCTAGCACTATCATCATCATGTGTCTCTCTTGCGTATTCGCTGACCACAGTATCTCTCCTTCTTAGTTGCTTCGTGATTGATTCGCGTTGGTATCTCTAATTACTGGTTGTCTATATTGATAACAATAATGTTCTGCTTATTACTCTTTTACCCCAAGGTTCTCTGGAAATTATAATTTGATCCCAAAGTTTCTTGGTTCTTTAGTTTCATCATGTCAGAGGATAAAATTCAGGCTATCAATTGCAGGCTCACTAATGCTAACTATGGTTATTGGTCCACCGTTATGAAGAATTTTCTTATGGGTCAAAAAAATGGAGTTATGTGTCTGGGTTTATACCGCATCCTTCGGATCCAAAATAGGACAATTATCTGGTTGCTTGTGACACATGGGATTGTGACAATGCCCAAATTCTGACTTGGCTTCATAATTCTGTGGAAGATCGTATTGGAATGACTCCAAATATTCTACTGCCAAAGAGGTGTGGGAGTACTTATTTGGCGTTTATCAGCAGTCCAACTTCGCTAAACGGTATGAGTTGGATTCCGCTATTCAGAATACTCGTCAGCGGGATAAATCTATTTAGGATTTTATGTTGAGATGGCGGGTTTCTGGGATCAGCTTGCTCTTATGGAACCTCCTCGCCTTACAGCCCTCGATGCTTATGTGCAGTTCAGGGAGGAGGGTTGTCTGGTGCAATTCTTGACGGCTCTCTCTCCGCTGTACGAGGCTATCTGTGGTGGTATCCTTCACCGTTCTCCTCTCCCTTCTTTGGATGCTATTGTTCGTGAGCTTCTTTCCGAAGAAACCCATCTCAAGACGGCCAGTCAAACTGTGTCTCCTTCAGTCTTTTTAGCACAGCCACCCTTATTGGCGACTCCATCTGCTTCTCAGCCTCAGTCTTTTGCCAAGCCCAAAAAGGGGCCCTTAGCTTTAGATGAGTGTGCTTTCTGCCATCACAAGGGTCATTGGAAGTACAATTGTCCCAATCTCTCATTCTCTCTGCCTCTGTTCCGACACCATTTTGGGATGAGGCAATTCTTACCGCTGCTTTCCTCCTTAATCACATGTCGGCTCCCCTATTCTCTGGTCAATCCCCTTCTAAGGCTCTGTGTTCCCAACCTCCTAATTATTCCCTCCTGCAAGTCTTTCGATTTGCTTGTTTTGTCCTCATTTCCCGTAAAGATCGAACCAAACTCAGTGCCCGGTCTATCTTGTGTGTCTTTTTAGGCTATAGTCTTACTTAGAAAGGCTACCGTTGTTACGACCATGTCTCTCATCACCTTTATGTCTCCCATCATGTTGCCTTTCTCGAATGTCTATCTTACTTTCAGCTTCCTCCTCTCACTGCTCCCGTTTCCAAAGAGGATTTGGTTCATATTGACCCATTTTCTTCTGAGGTCCCATCAGATGAGTATATCGCCACTGTTCCTCCTGAGGTCATTTCTACTTCTCCGTCTGCGTCACCTATGGCTCTTTCTTCTCCTTCGGTTGCTTCTTTCCCTCCGTTGTTGGTCTATTCTCATCGTAAGGCTCCCCCGCCACCAGTTTTCTCTACTCCTGTTGCTGCTCCTTCTGCTACTGACAACTCTGATCTCGCTGTACACCGCTATCCTCCTCGTAAGTGTTGTCCTCCAAACAGGTTGGGTTGGTCTAATACATGTTTTTCTACTTCATATCGTATTTTTTTGTCTGCTATTCACTCTTTTTCAGAACCTTAATCTTACAAGGAGGCTTGTCAGGATCCTCATTGGGCTCAAGCTATGGAGGATGAGTTGTCTGCTTTATAGAAAACTCGTACTTGGGAGCTGGTTCCTTTGCCTGCTGGTAAGAATCTAGTTGGTTGCAAATGAGTCTACAAAATCAAGACTCATTCTGATGGTTCTCTTGAGCACTACAAAGCTCATCTGGTTGCCAAAGGTTTCTCATAAGAGTATGGTATTGATTATGAGGAGACATTCGCTCCTGTTGCCAAGATGACTACTGTCGGTACTTTGATCTCTGTCGCTGTTGTTCGTTCTTGGCCTCTTTATCAAATGGATGTTAAGAATACTTTTATTAATGGCCATCTCACGGAGGAGGTTTACATGCGTCCTTTCTCTGGCCTTCACCATTCCTCTAGACAGGTTTGTCGCCTTCGGCGTGCTCTGTATGGTCTAAAACAGTCTCTCGTGCTTGATATGATTGCTTTCAGACTACTGTTACCGAGCTTGGGTTTTATCCTTCTACTTTCGACTCTGCTTTGTTTCTAAGACATACCTCAACTGGTTTTATTGTTCTCATACTCTATGTGGATGATATGATCACCACTGGCTTTGACTCTTCTGCTATCTCTGAGGTCAAGCAACATCTCTTCCGCACCTTCGAAATGAAGGATCTAGGACCATTGCAGTATTTTCTTGGTATTGAAGTTGTTTCTTCTCCCAATGGCTACTTTTTGTCTCAGGCCAAATATGCCAATGAGGTTATTCACCGTGCCAGTCTTACTGACACTAAGATTTATGATACCCCCATTGAGCTTAATGTGAAGCCTGATGGTGTTCCCCTGGATGATCCTACTTTTTATTGTGAGCTTGTAGGCTGCTTAGTCTATCTGACAGTTACTCGCCCTGATCTTGCCTATGCTGTTCATGTGGTTAGCCAGTTCGTTTCTGCTCCCCGCTCTTTGCATTGGGCTGCTTTGGTTCGGATTCTTCGCTATCTTCGCGGTACTATCTTCCAAGGCTTGTTGTTGTCTTTTACTTCTTCCTCATATTTGGTGGCTTATGCTGATGCTGATTTGGCTAGTGATGTGACTGATCGTAAGTCTACTTCTAGTTTCTGTCTGTTTCTTGGTGATTCCTTGATTTCTTGGAAAAGCAAGAAACAAACCATTGTTGTCCGTTCTACTGCTGAAGCTGAGTACCGTGCTGTGGCTCATGCTACTGCTGAGGTTGTTTGGCTTTCTTATCTCATCTCTGACTTGGGCGTTCCTCAGTCCTCTCCGACCTCTCTCTACTGTGACAACCGAAGTGCTATTCAGATTGCTCATAACATTGTTTTCGATGAATGAACGAAGCACATTGAGATTGATTGTCACTTCGTCCGTCAGTACCTACAGTTTTGCTCTATCTCGCTTCCTTTTGTCCCTTCGACTCTACAGCTTGCTGACTTCTTCACCAAGACTTACACCACTGCTCGTTTTCGATTTCTTCTTGACAAACTCTCCTTGTTTTTGCCTAAAACACCTTGAGTTTGAGTAAGGGTATGAGAATATATTTGTATATATTAGGCATTGTATATGTTAGGCATGTTTGTGATGACTGTATTTCTTTTTTTAGTCCCATTCTTGTATTTCCTTTTTGGTTAGTCATTAGGGTTATATAAACTAGTCTTGATGTAATTGGTACACAAGTTGAATATACAGAAAACTTACACTACCTTCCTTGTTCTTCGCTAGACGCGTGAATGTACTTCCCTCTATTCTCTTTGCACGTGTACTCGTTAATATTGCCAAACAATATTAGCCAAACTGCCAAACAGTATTGACGTGTACTTTGAATGGTCCTCCATACATGCATTCCATTGGGACATGTGGCTCATCCATCCTGAGCTACCACTTGTGTTCGAATTCTACTTCAGCTGTCCTCAACTGCGCTAACTCTGAGTGCTCTTATGTCAAGTACACTCAGCTTGGCTCAGCTAAACACCTTATAGCTCGGCAAAGCCCTTCAAGTCCCTCCGCGCTCAGTGAATATCTTTAGCTCGTCGTCTCAATAGCCTTCTGCATGCTAGCTTGGTCCACCAATTGGCTTAGCCCAATCCATGGTCCAACTCAAGATGAGATAGCTTGGTCCGAACTTATGGCCTCATCTCAGCTTTGCCTCGGCCCATTACCAAGGCACGGGCTCTGCTCGGCCACAACCCAAGTTTATCATCCAACTTGACTCATCATCGTAGACGAAGAATAGCTCGGTCCATTTGTTTGGCATAAATTCCCCTCTCAATATTTTTCATTGACCTTTTTTTTTTTTTTTGTTATACTAAAAACTATAACAGAATGCTGAAAATATTTTTCATAAAATATTATTTGGGAGCATCAAAATTATCAATAGGTCACCTACATGCCCGACTGCACCAAGCACAGAATCACACAAAACCAAAAGAAGATGGCCCATACAAAAATGGTCTCCGTTATACAAACAAGTACATTAAAAACCAGAAAATCTCTCTAGAGCAACATTACCAACAGATGAGATGTCAAATTCCAAAAAAATCCTTCATGTGCCCCCACCCCCCTCTCTCTCTCTCTCCTCATTTTTTTCTCCAATCCTCTCATAAACTCGAGGCCTCTGCACCACTATATAAACCTCTCTGATTGATTTATTCTTCATCCCAAGCTCCATCCTTCATTCTCTTCTTCATTTATCTTGATTTGCTTCTATTAGTCTTTTTTTGGTGTTTCAACTATGGCCACTGTTGAGGTAACTCAAATCCCCAACCAAATTCATTAGGGAGTTTCATTAATAAAAAAATTCGAATTCAATTTTGTGTAGCAATTAAACTCAACTATTCTGTTTATTTTTAGAGCTATTATTCTTTCTTCTTAGCCTTTGTTTTGTACATACTTGCTCATCTGATCATCATATCTTATGATGACATGGATCTCTATCTGCAATTGAAACTTCTTTTATGCAATATCATTCAGAAATATGTTTTTACAGATATTGATAATAAATGTTTAATTTTTAATTTTTTTTTTCTCACTGGAGAACCCAATTCATTGGATCAAGAAAGGCATGCTAGTTTATTAAATCAAGAGTGCTAGCTGTTACAATAATTTGTTCTTCACTAGAGTAGTTAACATGATTTGAATCAATCCAGTAAATAGGGGGCGATTCAGTAGTTATTCTCTTGCAGGTTGTGTCAGCTACACCAGCACACCAAGAGGAGATTAAAGAAGAAACTAATAACAAGGCTGAAGAGACAACCAAAGGAGAAGAGGTAGTCACCACCACCACCGCACCACCACCACCGGTGCCAGCGGAGGCTCCTGTAGAAGAAGCAAAGGAAACAGAGACGGCAGGTGAACCAGAGGAACCCGAAGCTCCGGCAGCTGAAGTTGAGCCTAAGGAGGTGGTGGAAGAGGATAAAGTGGTGCCTGAAATAGCAATTGTAGAGGAGAAAGAAGAGGAGAAGAGTGTTCCAAAGGTGGCACCAGAACCAGCTGAGGAGGAAGAAACTAAGGAAACTACAGAATCCACCACCGAGGCATCGGTGCCGGTGCCGGTGCCGGTGCTGGTGCTGGAGCTGGAACCAGAAGCTGTCACTGAAACTCCAAAAGATGATAAAGTTGCTGCTGCTGCTGAAGAAGAAAAACCAGTTGAGAAAACTGAGGAATAAAAACCTATATGGAAGTTTGGCTTTGGTTAAAAGTTTGTGCCTGTAGTTGTGTTGTCAAATTTCATTGAGTTTTTCTATTTGGTGCAATAATAAATATATACCGAGGTAGGAAAGAGTTTTGGTGCAATAATAAATATATATATATATATATATATATATGTATGTAGTAGTATATGGGGCTTGGAATCTAGAAAATGCATATGATCCTGGAAACTTGGATTGTCCAATGCCAACTTGCCACGGGGAAAGCATGCAATGGAGAGGGGCACCAAGGATCCTCTAGAGTATTTTTTTCCTAAAGTTTCCTAAAGTGGTGTATTGTGTGGTTGAGATTTAATGTTGAAAAATTGATGTGACTTGTCATTAAATCTCAACCACACAATGCACCACTGTAGGAAACTTTAGGAAAAAAAAAACTCTAGAGGATCCTTGCTCGGAGAGGGGAGGGGGGGTCATGCCACGTGGCACATGGTTATTGGGTTCTAAGTGGGTAGATTTATTATTGTGCATGTATGGTTGAGCAAAATGGGTTATGCCAGCTTCACATAATAATAATGTATGATGGTCTAGTGTTTAATAATAAGTACTGCTGTTCATTTTCCTTTCAAATTGGAACTGTTTTTCATCGGGGAGAAAATTGAAATTGAAACCAAGTCTTTAACAAAATTACTAACCTACATTATGTTCTAACAAAAAATACAAATCTATTTAACAAAATAGAAATCAGAATTCACCGGCCCAACTCTTTAACAAAATACAAGCTCACCATGTCTTTTATCACTACAAAATAACAAGCCTAGGTCTTTATTGAAGTATTCGATACAGTACAAAAAAGAAGAAAAAAAAAAAGAAAAAGAAAAGAAGTTGGAATATTAGATATATTGATCGGTTTTGGTGAGATTTGATTTTAAAAAGTTGAACAATGTTACTGAATCGGTAGATAGTGTTCTTCTAAAACCAAAACCAAAACCAAATAGAGTACTCAATGAAAAAACCAACTAATCAAAATCAGCCAGTTCAAACTGGTTTTAATCGGTTAAATTGGCTCATCTGATTTTGTCCTCGCAATAGAATTTCAAAAAGGGGCCTCATATGAGCAGCCAAAGTTGAAACTAATCTTTGTGATTGATTCCTAGCCCAACTATATTCGAAATAAAGCAGGGCTCACGTAATTTGGCAGCCCAATCCATGGCGGACAGTACCATGCATTCCATCCACACCTTTTGAGTATAGATAAACAATAATATATCACCAACAGAAAAATAATTTTAAAAATAAAATATATATTGTAGATTGAAATGTGATGAAATATTCACATGTAGTATAAATTTTGTCTGCAAAATTTTATTTTAAGATATTTTTTATTCTTTTACAGTCTGTTTTGGTAAACTCATCAAGATATGAAATAATATTTGTAGGAGGCTGTATATAGAAAATTTCTAAATATTAATCTAAATTCATAAAAAAAAATTAATTATTTATTTATCACTGTAACAAACTCTTCCCCAACAGATGGTCATTCGATGAATTGATATCTCTGTAATTGAATGTTCAAAAATGGTGTCCATGCTGAGCAGAGTCACAAAATCAACAAAAGTGGGAGGAAGAAGAAGCAGAGACCTAGTGTATGTAGCAGCAGTGCCCTTAAGAGCAGCAAAGGGACCTGCCCAGCTGATTATGTCTTCTGCTTACTCCCTAAACCTTTGGGGTTTGCAGCACTTCATGGTCCTCATCAAACCCTCCTCCTCCTCACCTCCTCTCTCTCAGGTTCTCTCTCCTCCCCCATATTCCCCACTTGGGTTTATCATATTTTCTCCAACTTTTTCGACTTTGTTTCTCAAAATTCTCATGCTTATTTACATATTCACAACTATATATTAATGGGTTTTGAGGTTTTCTCATCTAATCATCTGATGTAGGGTTTGATTGATTCATATTCTCATGGGAATTTCATAATTTCTATTGGGTTTTGGGATTTGAGTTCCTTTCCCTCTACTTTCCCTCCATCCAAACACAGTCTTAGTATCCAATAGGCCAACTTGAACACGCATTTATTTATTCTAACATAATTTTCTCGTCACATTTCTTTCTTTTCTAGGCCTCTGTTTTTGATTTTCAACCTCAAGATCCTGAAAATATATATGTAGCACTTGCAGCCCTATCTGGCAGAAAAATACCAGGTATGCCCCTTGATATTTTTAAAATTTTTGTTTCGTTTTTTGTTTTGGTATTTGAGAGGGTAATTTTTGGTGAAAATTGGGCCGAGCTGCGAGATAGACTTTGTGACCCAAAATACGCAAGACTGTGTAAAAAGGCCGTAATGTTACTCCGGCCCAAGAGAAGTAAAGTTACTTCGGCCCAAGAGAGGTAAAGTTACTCCGGCCCAAGAGATAAAGTTACTTCGGTCCAAGATGATGTAAAGTTACTCCGGTCCGGAGGCAACTTGGAGTTAAGCCGGCCTCAGAGTTAGTCCGGTCACGACGTAGTATGGTTAGAACGGTCAAAACCTTGCTACTCGGTAATCCGGTCATGATGTTTTGTGGATTAGAACGGTGAAAACCTTGTTACTCGGTAGCTCGGTCTAAACACACCATGGGTTGAACAAAAGAGAACCGAGGTAGGAAAGAGTAAAAGGAAGAACCGAACTACGGATAGTTCGGCCTACTCTGTGGCTCAGCATAGCCAGGTTTATCTCCATCGTATGGTAGTTCGGCCATAGTAAAAACCATCCCCCTTGGTTTAAGCAGTGGGGGGTGTAAAAGGATAAGCATTATCCTTAGGAGTATGAATCCTAGGAGGACTCTGCATGGAGAAGTAGAAGTCCTACTAGGATTGTGCCACTCGAAACCTATAAAAAGCTCACAAACATCACCTTGGAGGAGGTAACACACAACTTGGCTTTCTGAACACATTAAGCTTTGCCTGTTTGTCAAGTTTGCTGACTTAGGCATCAGAGAGGTTTCCGACACACACCCACCGGCTAGCTCACGTTTGTGTTTTCAGGTGACAAAGCGACGTCGTACGGAGGAGCACGGACTTAGTCAACAGGATTATATGAGAAGATATATTTCTTTCCCGTACAATTGGCGCCGTCTGTGGGAAGAGCAAGACAGAACAAAACCTCTTGACTAAGCTTCCCCTTCTCTCGATCAATGGCACACATTGAAGAATTGCCACAGTCCGCCATCGACGGACAAACTCCAGATGGGGACGCAAGGCGTGAAGGACTACCCTCCATCCCTCCCATGGCGGATTTGGAGCCCCAACGACATAACACCAGGAGGGATACTAGGAGAAGGAATAACAGCCCCCATCGCTCTAGTTCACAAAGTCCTGACCGGCAAAGACAGAGGATTGATCCTCAAGCTCTGGAAGACCGCGTGAAAGAACAAGATGAATTAATAAAAAAGATGGCGGCGAACATGGAAGCTTTGAAACGTCAGATGAAAGGAAAGGAAGTGGCGATAGGAGAGGGGCGCAAAAACAAGACGCCCCATCGCCACTTAGAGAATCGTGGTAGGAATACCACACCCTCGCAAGGAGAGAGTAGAAGCCTCAGGACAGGCGACACTCAATCCTGGTCTTCCAGAACTCGTTACTCCAGGTCTGAGAGGACGAGATCTGAAAGGTCATGCACTGAAGGAAGCACATATTGGCCCTCACATTCACACCAAACCAGATCTAGACAGTCAGAGTTGCCCAGATCATCCGACTTACGAACCATGCTCGAGGAAAAAGCACGATGCAAGGAGTATGCCAGGGCGCGGGATCCGCACAGAGTTTCTGCTTTACAGCGGTTGGCTCCTCGGACGCATGGAAGCGTCGAGGTTGGAATGCCAATTCCGCGCCCAGCCTATGAACCAACGGACAAAGCATTGGCGAGGCTGCAGACTTCGCCATTTGTTCCCGCAATTGAAAACGCGCCCCTACCATCAGGCTTCCTTCAGCCGAAATTCACTACATATGAAGGGAAGACGGACCCGTATTCACACTTGAGCCACTTCTGCCAAGTCATGGCCGTATACAGGCGAAACGAGGCCTTAATGTGCATACTCTTCCCATCAAGCCTTGGCGAACTGGGCTTGACTTGGTTCGAGAAACTTCCAGAGGGCAGCATAGCCTCCTGGGCTCAATTGGCAGAAGCGTTCGTAACGAGGTTCCGAACAAACACTAAGACACCGGTGGAGATCAACCAGCTACTCTCCATCGACATGGGAGATAAAGAGACCCTTAGATCCTACAATAGTCGCTACTGGGAGATATTCAATCAGATTGGGGACTGCCCCACCAATCTCGCCATTGCACAGTATAAAAGAGGCCTTCCAGTCGGGAACAGACTAAGGGACTCGATCACCATGACGCCACCCCTCACCATGGAAGCCCTGATGGAGAGAGTGTATCAGCACATCAGGGTAGAAGAGGATAGCGCATGTGCCAAAGAAAAATCTAGTACGACCACAGTACCAGAAAAGAAAACCTTAGCAAAGGTCAATGCAGTAGATCGTCAGAATAGAAACGGACGTGGCAGACGAGATAACGGAGAAGACCCAGACAAAAGATGGCTGAGAATCCGCACTGCCATAACAACGGTGTTCAAAAAACCGATATATCGGATTCTGAGCGAAATAAGGGATGAGCCTTTCGTCAAGTGGCCAGCCAAACTGGGAGAAGCTCAGAAAGACTATGACGAAAGATCACGGTGCACCTTCCACAAAGAAAATGGGCACCGAACTGAAAATTGCACACCATTGAGACAGCACCTGGAAGAGTTGGTGGCGGCAGGTCACTTGGACAAATACATTGAAGGAGGGACACAGCCAGCCCCCCAGGATCATAATAACCCCAATGGAATGCCAATCGACGCTCCGCCCCAAGGCATTATCAATGTCATACATGGAGTTTTTGAACCTGAGCGTGTATGCGAGCTCAGAGGATCAATCAAAAAGGCTGAGCACTTCAGAGAGGTGCTAAGTGCCCAACCTGCCACCAAGAAAGGGAAGACAGAAGCAACAAACGTCATGCCTTTTTCGGACAAAGACCTGGATCGAATATACTGTCCTCACAATGATGCACTAGTCGTCACTCTCCGAGTCAAGGATTTTGACGTCAAGCGGATTCTGATTGACCAGGGTAGTTCATGTGAAATCATGTACTACGAGACATTTAAACAATTAAAGCTGCAAGACAGAGACTTGGCGCCTGCCGTATCTCCCCTGATTGGATTTAACTCCATGCCAGAGTGGCCCGTTGGTAAGATAATTCTTCCTGTCAGAGCAGGAACCGTGACAAAACAAGTGGAGTTCTGGGTATTGAAAGTCCCCTCCACTTACAACATCATCTTGGGCAGAACATGGCTGCATGCCATGTGATCGGTGGCGTATCCTACCACCAAGTAATGCGGTTCCCCAACGACACCGGAATAATTGAAGAAGTCTATGGAGATCAGATCATGTCAAAACAATGCTTCACCACGGTGAATGGCAGTCGCGTTGCCAAAGGATACGTTCATTCGGTGGAAGAACCAGAAAGTAATGAGCTATTCGCAGACGTCGGCAAAGCGGCGGATCAGAAAGCAGTGGAGTGGAGGACTTGGTGGAGGTAAAAATAGATGAGAAGAACCCGGATAAGTTCTTCTTGCTTGGCTCATCGTTGTCCAGCGCTGAGAGATTAGAGGTCTTGGAATTCTTGACCTCTAACATCGAAGTGTTCGCCTGGACACCCTACAACATGCCAGGCATTGATCCAAACTTCATCTGTCACCAACTCAATGTCCACCCATCCGCCAGACCAGTCATACAGCGCACTCGCAGATCAGCGCTTCACCATACCGAAATAGTGGCTGAAGAAGTAGGTAACCTGCTGGAGGCGAGAGCAATTAGAGAGGTGCACTATCCAAAATGGATCTCCAACGCAGTCGTAGTGCCAAAAAAGAATGGTAAGTGGCGTGTCTGCGTCGACTACAAGACAGTCAACAAGGCGTGCCCAAAAGACAACTTTCCTCTACCAAGGATAGATCAACTAGTAGACCTGACGGCAGGGCACAATCGATTTAGCTTTCTGGATGCATACAGAGGCTACCACCAGATCGCCATGCATGAACCAGACCAGGAGGTCACATCCTTTACAACTCCAAGAGGACTGTACTGTTACAAGGTCATGCCCTTTGGCCTGAAAAACGCAGGGGCAATATTCCAACAGATGATCACCAAGATGTTTAAACCATTGTTAGGCAGAACAATGGAGGCTTACATCGACGACATGGTGGTCAAAAGCAAGGATGAGAATGACCATCTAAAAGACTTAGGAGAGATGTTTGAAGTCTTGAAGAAGCACAAGTTGCGCCTCAATGCATCCAAGTGCGCATTCGGAGTAGGATCTGGCAAATTCTTGGGCTTCCTTGTGACCAACCGGGGTATAGAAGCAGACCCCTCCCAGATTAAAGCAATCCAGGAGTTGGAGAGACCAAACTCGGTCAAAGAAGTGCAGCATCTCACCGGCATGGCGACTGCGCTTAATCGGTTCATAAGCAGGTCGTCAGATAGACTACGACCGTTCTTTCAAGCTTTAAAGGCCAAGTTTGAGTGGGATGAAGAATGCGATCAAGCTCTGGAAAGCTTGAAGGAATATATGTCTTCCCCACCACTGCTCGTTACCCCAGTACCTGGTGAAAAACTCTTCTTGTACCTGGCAGTCTCCCAGTACGCAGTTAGCGTAGTGTTGGTTCGTGCAGAAGGAATACAACACTTGCCCATCTTTTATGTCAGCAAGACATTGTTGGGAGCCAAAACAAGGTACTTACCCTTGGAGAAATTAGCATTGGCCTTAATGATGGCCTCCAGGAAATTGGCACACTACTTTCATGCCCACACCATAGTTATCCTCACAGCTTTTCCACTAAAAGCTTTGTTTAAAAGAGAGAACTTTTCTGGGCGAATCTTGAAGTGGGCAGTAGAGTTGGGACAATTCGACATCAAGTTCCAACCCAGAACTGTAGTAAAAGCCCAATCCTTGGCAGACTTCGTCGCAGAATTTACTCCTGGAAGTCATCATATCTGCCCAGTCGACCTAACTGACACGACCGAACTAGGGATGGAAGTTGACGCCGGAATAGCGCAACCCCTAGCAGAAAGTACTCAGTCAGGCTCCAAGGCAGACCAGACTAAAGACAGCAAGGAAGAAGCAAACCAAGCAAACCAAGACTCACCAACAGTCCAATCAGAAGGCGAGGGGCAGACAGCAAGCATGGACCTTGAAGAAAACAACATTCTTGACCCCACGACATCATCTGACCCCTCCACTTGCTGGAAGTTGTTCGTTGGTGAGATGTGGAAGCTCTTTGTGGATGGAGCATCCAACCGGCATGGTGCAGGACTTGGCATAGTCCTCATCTCACCAGACGGCCTGGTTATGGAGCAAGCAATCAACCTTGGCTTCCCAACATCAAACAACGAAGCGGAGTATGAAGCGCTTCTCACAGGACTCAAAATCGCATGTTACATGAAGGCCACCGAACTTATGGTCTACAGCGACTCACAGCTGGTGGTAAACCAAATTTCTTGGCGACTATGAAGCACA